TTATTTTTTGGTTAAATTTATTGTACGCTTATGATCAGTATTGTTGACTGATATCATTTTTCCTCAACACTACCCCAGTTACATTCTTCATTCTATATTTAATTTGGACTGTTCTCAAAAGATACAATCCGCTAGAAAAAAAATTATAGTGCACGGAATAAATTATTTGAAATGGACATTTGAAAACAATAAGTTAAAATAGAAATGTGTTCTTTGAAAAACAGGACATACAAGTCATTAGATATTTTAAGGAGATTGTGTTTAAAATTATAGCAAGAATTACATTGACTATTAAGTATGCCTCCAGCTTCGATAGGGCTCTGATCTACCCAGCTTGACTAATTTTATTTCATCCTTGTTTAACTTAATTGATTTGTTTTTTTTTTCTCTATCTCTCTCTCTTCTTTCTTTTTTCTTTATTAGGAACAATATCAACGAAATGTATTTTGATCAATATTTCGAGGCACGGAGTTAAAACAATTTTTGATCCAGCTGAAGTCTGGTAAGACAAAAGTAAGCGATTAATATCTAACCGTTTAAAAATCAAAAAGAAAACGGTTAGTTAAATCCATTACCTCATGTTTTGAAGATGTGCAACACATACGCCCATCCCAAACCATAACAATCTCATCCCAATTTAATTAATATTCCTTCTCTAATATATATATATATATATATATATATATATATATATATATATATATAGTCATCCACAGAGAGATTCGTTCGCTGTATCGCAGCTCATCAGTGTGGCTAGACGTCCGGTTGCCTCTAGCTAGGATTGAAATCTGGCTAAAACAGCGTGAGTCGGAGAATGTACCCCTAAGCCGTTTGCACACGGCACGGATGAAGGTGAATTTAGTCGTATTTATAAACACGCCAGGACTGAGATAACTCGATTTGTTTTTATCAAAGAGTATTGCATTAGTAGCAGTAATTGTCACTGTTTAAGAAATCACATTTTCTCTCCAGAGAGCTCAACTGAAATAATTTTTCAGCAGCATATATATTGTCATCCACAAACAGACTGTTAGCTGTATCAGTGTGGCTAGACGTAGGTCTTGAATATTACTCGCTTATATTTATAAACTAAAGAATAGTTTTCTTCTTGTCTTTTTATATATATATATATATATATATATATATATGTATATATCTGTGTGTATGTATGTGTGTATGTGCGTGCGTATGTATGTATTATACATGTTTCATTGAATGTAACAAACAAGAAAAAATTTATATATGTTTTATAAAGTTTTCTTTAAGTTTTTTTTTTTTTTTTTTTTTTTTTTTAAGGAAAAATGGAATACAGAAACTGTCCGGAGCCATCATTGGGACCAACGCTTCCGGCTAATTACAGTTTGTGCACTCTCTTAATCCTGACATTAAGAAAACTAAAGGCATTAGAAAATGATACATGCTTAAGCGATAATGTATCTTTCGATACATGACTGACGAGGCAAATTTTTCCCGCAATAGGTTGCCATTTCTTTCTGCGGTAGACCAGTTTCAATACAAGGCGATAGAACCTGGTCTATCCTGCAAATTACCCATAGCTGGGAGGGAGAACAGGATTCATACGTTTCCCAAGAGTATAACACGTCAGTCAATCAGTCATGTGCCATGCGTGATACACGCTTAGCCGATAATGTATCTTTCAATACATGACTGACGATGCAGATTTTTTTCCCGCGGTAGGTTGCCATTTCTTTCTGTGGTAAACTAGGTGCCATCCAAGGCGATAGAACACGGTCACTGCAATTTACCCATAGGTGGGATGAGAAGATGATTCATACATTTCCCAAGTGCATACGTCAGTCAGTCAGTTATGTGTCATGCGTGATACACGCTTAGGCGATCATATATCTTCAATATATGACTGACGAGGCAGATTTTTTCCCCGCAGTAGGTTGCCATTTCTTTCTGCGTTACACCAATTGCCATGCAAGACTCTAGAACCCAATCTATCGTGCAATTTACCTGGGGAGGGGAAAGACGAGGATTTCTGCGGTACAGGACCACGAATGGCACGTAGCACATTCTCAACACTATAAACCTTATTTTTAGTGGGCACCCCTGTTTGAATTGTTATCTCTGTTTTGTTTTGTTCCATTTTCTTCACGAAATTACTAACCACCGGCCTACATCGAGAAGACTTACTAAGGAAAAAATGTGCCTCCAATAAGAATCGAACCTACGTCTCTGTTTTTTATCAAGTAAACCTCTTTTTAGCCAAAGCGGCAGAATATCAATTTGGTTACGGAGTGCAAGTTTGAATTACCTAATAGAGCAAAGCATATTTCTCCTTTGGACCTAACGCTAGCGTCGGTTTCCTACTAACGTAAATGCGAAATTATTTGCTCTTGCTATAAATGTCCATGCCCTGTATCTGACTACAAAGAATAGGAAATTGTGAAGAGCCATGTTCACTCACTTGCTGAAGGCGTATAAAAGCAGATTATAATATTTCGTCAACAGAAACGAGCATAATAATGTCGATTATCAGTGCCCCCCTAATAAAAACCGACATCGGGAATTCGACTGAGGTTGTAACATCAATGTCTGGCAAGGAGAGTCAACACGTAACTATCTAAGCAACACAGTTACATTACGTCCGTGTGACCTTCTGCTTTAGCTTGAATAAATATCACGAATCATGCAAGAGAAAATAGATATTTAATAAGAGTGCAGGGGTGCGAGGAGTGCTGGGAATTAGAATTTAAAAGAATTATCAAGAGATAATGAAGAAGAACAAAGCAGCAAACTATCGCTTGTTGACTCTGGGTCGCTGATGCGGTTGTAATCACCAGAAAAGGTCAACACACACGGTAACGATCGGGCAACAGGTGGCTTTTCTTTGCATTACTCACGTTGTCGCAATGAAATGCAATCTTTTCATTGCTCTTTTTCTCTTCTCAGCCGTTCTTTATCTATCTTCAGACACACATGTATAGATTCATATATATATATATATATATATATATATATGAAAAGTGTATATAAATATAAATAAATATATATATGTATAATTATTTATATATTATATGCGCGGTACTTATTAGAAAGCGCTCAATATCAGACAATCATAAAAGGTGAAACCCAGGGTCACAAACTCACATCTATCCAACTAAATATATATATATATATATATATATATATATATATATATATATATATATATATATATATATATATGTATGTATGTATATATACACTATAGATCAAAGGTTTTGGGGACACCATCTGGATTTCGAAGAATTGCCTAAAAATAAAAGCTTCATTAACTTTTTTATAAACTAATTTACTGGCTCACTTCATGCCAATAGTACTTTCTCTTCTGGAGGGGTTTTAATCACATATTCAATCATGATATTATTATTCAATCATCATCATCATAATAATATATATAATTATAATATAATAATCATAATAATATATAAGTATAGCTGGATACCCGTCTACTATGGCGGCTAGCCAATCCCTATTGCAGACGCTTGCTGAGGCGCATTTGTGTTTATTCAACACCCGCAGAGCCCACCTGTGGTTTATATTACAACTATGCGTGATCAACAATTTGAACAAGGCCAGTACACTAAAGTTCACTGACAAGGCTTGGGTCAACCCGTGCTATAGTTTTCTGAAACTTTCCAAAGTTGCCACTCACTGGTCAATACAGTCCAATTACACCAGGAAGTTTCCTACCTGACAAATCGACAATGGTGAGATTCGTACCCGGGTCTCATGGTCAGAATGTGAACATTCTAACCACTCGGTGCCGTGCCCATAAGGAACCCACCGAAAGTTTGTATAATCATAATCATAATCATAATAATTATTATTATTATTAAAGCACAATACAGCGACTGAAGCTGCAAAATACTTAAAAAAGAGAGCAAAGACAAATACAACCTACCAGATGCAGAAACAATGGCAAGATAAACCGCTTCATGGTCAATACTCTGCTCGCACCAAACAAGCTGACGTAGACAAAACCCGTACCCATCAGTGGCTACGTAGTGCGGGGTTGAAAGCTGAAACCGAATGTTTTATCCTTGCTGCACAGGACCAATGATTGTTAACTAGAAGTTATGAACCACATATACTAAAATATTGTGTTAGCCAAAAATACAGATTCTGTGATAAATATCCAGAAACAATTGATCATCTTGTATCAGGTTGCACGATATTGGCACCCACTGAATATAAAACCCGGTATGACAGAATGGGCCAATATCTGCACTAGAAAAATTGCAACGTCTATAGATACGAAACTGAAAGAAACTGGTATGAACACCACCCAGACCCGGTTACGGTGATAGGACCTGTTACAATTCTATGGGACTACACAATACACACTGACAGAACAATCAAAGCCAACCGCCCAGACATTGTTAGTAAAGACCACAAACAAAAACATGCCTCCTTATTGATATGGCAGTCCCTGCTGGCTGCAATGCATCTTTGAAGATATTCAAAAAGCTGTCAAAATACAAGGACCTTGAAATCGAAATCCCAAAATGTGGCACATGGGAACATCAACAATCCCTGTTGTAGTTGGAGCCATCGGATTGGTTGGAAAAGATTCCAATAGACTCATTGAAGGGATTCCTGGAAGCCCATGCCTCAAAGAAATACAAAAAATTGTTTTCACAAGTACAGCCCACACATTACGAAGGGTTTTATCTATATAAAAAAAAATTATTTTTGTCAGTGGAAAGTGTCATGATGCCATTTCTAACCTTAGGTCTCTGGGTAGGACCCGGAAAGAAATGTGTTCACGCCAGAAATCAAAGGAAATAAAAACAACAACAACAATAACAACAACAACAGTAATAATAATATCTTCTTACTGCACAAAGTTACCTTAAATATTTGGCCCCTTTTACATAAACTAACTTGCTGGGTAATTGAAATCTGAGGGTCGGTAGATTTAAAATTTTTAGATAGCACCCACCTCCTCTCTAAAAAAATTAGACGCCATGCACTAATGGGTTAAAGCTTACAGCGATATCACGTTGAAACACATCTTCACATACAATCACCGAAGTTAAGCAACGACGTGCCTGGTCAGTACCTAGATGGGAGACCACTTGGCAATAGCAGGTGCTGTAAGCTTGGATGTACAGGTGGATAAAGGCTCAGAATTTTTGATCGGAGAGCTGAGTTCTAATTCCCGTTAGGTCAGTTTTAATTTGTTACGCACAAATACCCTTGAGAAAGGTGGGAATCCACCTTTTCTCCCTCCAGCTATGGGTTAATTAGTTACTATGGGTTATCCCTAAATCATTATTACCTAAAAAGAAATTCTTACAATCTAAAAAAAATTCTGGCTTTAAATAAACAGCAATGGGTTGATAAAGCGTAGAAAACTATTCAATCGGCGAAATACTGATTAGCTACAAAGACATTTCTTTTAGATTTATATACATTTACATTTACATCTAGGCGTACATATATTACCGTTGATGCAAAGTTTACATATTGATTGTAATATAGGAATGATCCCCCACTTTATTGTCCACATTACAATTTCTTGTTTGTTGATCAAATTCTGTTTAGGCATGGAGCCAGCGCTTCTCCCCCTGTTATGGGTTAAATAGTAAAACTTACATCACTCAATCGTTATATCACTAAACCGTTATTATCTAAAAAGACGCCTTACAATTAAAAATATTGTATGGCTTTAAATAACCTACAAAGTGTTGATAAACTGTAGTAAACGAATCAATCACTCAAACTAACATATATAAATTCAGCATCCTATCTTAACAGCCTGTTATTATAGCAAATAGGCTATATCTAGGCATTTTTTTCAAAACAAACAACACTCAGAATAAAACATCTTTCATCAAAGGTAAAACTATTTTAAAATGTGCATCAGATACTTCATTTACTTAGAAAATAATAATAATAATAATAATAATAGCTAAATGCAACCGCCACTTCTACCCCAACAGTTTCTTTTCTCGCACTTCCCGCTTGTGTAACTCCCTTCCGTTTATTGCTTCCCTGATAATTACAATCTACAAGACATTAAATGTAGTGGCAATCGCCATCTTTGCCTCATCATCTTCATCTCTCTCTCTCTCTCTCTCTCACTCTCTCTCTCTCTCTCTCTCTCTATATATATATATATATATATATATGATTACAATGAAGTTTGCCACATTACTGATTGATGTTATCCTGACTCCGGAGTTTCGTAAGCGGAAATGTCCATCCACTCTTCAGGGGATATGAGCATTTACTTCTTATATTCATGATTTTTTTCCTTTTCGTACACTTATCTTGGTATAAGTTTTTTCTGTATTTTAACACACACAGCACGCGCATACACACACACATATATATATATATGTATATATATATGTACATATTTATACATATATATATATATATATATATATATGTATGTATGTATGTGTATGTATGTATGTGTATATATTTATATATATATATATATATATATACACACACAGAATGTATCAAAAATACTTCTACAAACTTTGAGGGCAGGTTCCTCACACCAAAGCAAGTACATATAACTATATGTCTTCTTTTTTGAGTTATTAAGTTTAAAGAAAGTTTACGGTAGAGGGCGCAGTGTTGTCATGTAGACTAAGTTCCATTTGTCATTCATGTACATTTGTGGCTAGTCTATCTTCAACGTTTAACGTAGTAGGATAATTGAGAAGTGTTCCCTTTAACAATAGTAGGATATTTATATTGTGAGCAGGAAGATATGATATTTACATACGGCCGAGCGACTGGCAATGGACGGAGGCTTCACGGCTGTATCAGATTGCATTTCCAGACCGAAGTCAGCCGATTCATCCAATCTTTTGTCTTTGTTTGGATGAGTAAACAACCCCAAAGTATTTTATACACTATATATATATATATATATATATATATATATATATATATATATATATATATATATATATATATATATAGTCACAACATATTACATTGCATCTAGACATATGGTTCTGTTGTTAATATTTCGAACTTTCATGTCATCTATTCCGAGACCATTATCATCGCATAGCAATCTTCTATGTCAACATAACAGAATATCATTTTTGATGATGAATATCTTTGTTTAATTTTCCATATAACAACTCAGAAGATGGCTCATGTGAGCCGAAAGCTTAGATTAATGTACGGCATAATAAAAAATATCCAAATTTTGTGACAATTTTGTCTTTATTTTCTCCTGAAATTAAATCAACTATACGAAGTTTAGAACGGCTCATGATCAAACATAATAGACATTCGTTGTCTGTTATATTTAGCAATAATTTGAATAATATATATATATATATATATATATATGTGTGTGTGTGTGTGTGTGTTTGTGTGTGTGTGCGTGTGTGTGTATTCAAATTTTTGAAGATCTTTTATATCTGGATTCAAATTGTTTATGATCTGTCCCAAATTCATGCTTTCCTTTTTTGTTCAAATAAATTCAATCGTTTAAGTCATTATCGAGAACTGGATGATTTCTGGATGTTAGAAAATAACTGAAATTAGTCTGTGATTTTCATGTGTAAAACGGTTACCTGGAGCTAGACAACTTCGGAAAATAACCCACCAAACATTTATACGTATTTTTATTATAATTATTATTTGCTTTATAATCACATGCCGAGTCATAATCAATTAACTCGGGAAAGTGAAGGATGCGATTTTATTAATATTTGAACAGAGGACATCAATGAAGAAAAAAAACAACAAAAAAAAAAAAATTAAATAGACAAAGTTCTTCGCAGCCTATAGGATGTGCTTATTAGAATTATTTCTGGGATTTCTCGGAGAGGTGGAGCACCAGAGATTTTGTTAAATTGTTGTCGATTTCATTTCTTTTATCAGACCGAAAGATCCAACCACAAAAGAAACAAGTCTTATAGTTTTTAAGTACTATTTTTTTCTATTAAAATTTCTAAGTCTTTGTATTTAGTTATTTAAAAAAAAAAAAAAAAAAAACCCTTTGCAAAAATGGTTTTATCACTTAGTACATTCATGTCAATCAATTTTATTTTCTGCCTTTCTTAATAATGCCTAGACAATTTGCATGTATTTTTCGATCTATCAATAGAAAGTCGCAAAGGATGATAATATCTGACTCATCTACTACAGATTTGGGAGCATGCATGTTATTATTATTATTATTATTATTATTATTATTTCTGCTATGGACACACTACCTACCAAGTCTGCGGAAAGACCTAAGGCAGGTCGTGGTGTGTTGTTATGGCCACATTTCATGTTAATTTTTTTTTTTTTTTTTTTTTATCTCCGATGAAGTTGCTAGCGTTACATAGACAAAGTTCTCCTTAGTGTGTGTGCTGTACTTAATAAGACAATTTTCTGTATGTCTCTTAAGCTGGGGTTTCCAGGGATTCTTTCAATGTGTTGTTTTGTTCCATTTTTATAATTCCAAGTGCACCTATTACCACTGGTATTATTCTTGTTTTCAATTTCCACATTTTTCTATTTCAATTTCCAGGTCTTTGTATTTTGATAGTTTTTCAAATTCCTTGGTTGCTATGTTACAATCCGCTGGATGCCATATCAATTAGTAGGCAAGTTTTTTCTTTCTGGTTTTTGACAATAATGTCCGGCCTATTTGCTTCAATTTTTCTGTCTGTGTGGATGGTATAATCCCATAGAATGGTGACATCTTCTATTTCTGTAACCGGCGCTGGCCGATGTTCATTTCAGTGTTTGCTTACACATTTTCCAAAGTGTTTGCACATTGTCCAGTGTAAGTATTGCCCCACTCTATCGTGACGATTTTTATATTCATTTTGGGGCAAGTATAGAACATCCTGAGATTAGATGGTCTATTGTTTCTTGGTATTTGTCACAGAACCTGCATTTTGGATCCACATTATTATGTATGATATTTGCCTGAAAATTCCTAGTGAAAAGACTCTGGTCTTGCGCTGCAAGAATAAAAGCCTTCAGTTTCAGACTTTAATCCAGATGCTCGTAACCATCGATGAGTATTAACTTTATCAACATTGGGTTTATTTGCACGTTCTGGATATTGGCCATGCAGAGGTTTGTCTTGCCAGCGTTGTTTCATCTGTTCAAGGGCTTTATCCTTGGCTTTCTTTTTCATATCTTTTGCTGCAATAGTTGGTTCTTGGCTTCTGTTTTGATTTACTACAGAATCTACTAAATGTAAAATGTTGTTTGTATTTACTGCCTTCTTTTATTATTGAATATTTTTTCTTTCTGTTTTCATGTTGTTTCACTAATTTTATCATCCAGTCATTTGTTGTTTCCATGTAAGTTAGTAAGCCAATAGTTGTTGTCTTGTAAACAATTCTAGCTGAATAAGACCTCTTCCACCTTCTTTTACGGGGTATGTATAGACGGTCTACATCAGCCTTTGGATGATGCATCTTATACTTAGAAAGAAGCTTTCTTGTTTTAGAATCCATTTGTCTGATGTCATTTAGAGTCCAGTTCAAGATGTTGAAACTATATTGGACCACTGGGATGGCTAGGTTATTAATGGCCATAATTCTGTTCTGAGAATTCAATTCAGTTTTAATACCAGTCGTACCCTTCTATAGTACTCTTTACGCACTATTTCTTTCATTTTCTTATGGTGAATTCCTTCACTCTCATTTACACCTAGGTACTTATAAGCTTCTCCTTGTTCTAAATCTTTTATTGTTACAGCAGGGTCTAAACTAATAGAGGAAGTTTGTTGTAGGATCCTCGTAAAACTGTAGCTTTAGCACATTTATCCAAATTGAATTTCATTCCAATGTCTTCACTGAAGCATTTTACAGTTTGCAGAAGACCTTCCAGCTCATTGTCATTCCTAGCATACAATTTTAAGTCATCCATGTAAAATAGATGGTTTATTTTCTTTTGAGCTATTTTGTAACCGCATTCTGTCTTGTTAAGTTGGCTGGTTAATGCTATAAGTGATATGCAAAATAATAAAGGAGACAAAGAGTCACCTTGAAATATTCCTCTATTGATGTTTATTTCGCCAGACTTATAGGTTCCATTTTTATGATTGAGGTAAAGTGTAGTTTTCCATATCGACATACATTGTTTGATGAAATTGATGATAACGGGTGATAC